AAGAGAGAGACCTTGAGGAGAGCATTACGAAGCTCTCATATCAGGCTAATTCCTTTGCAGAAAGGACTCGTGGAAGCAGCTCAGTAAGCCAAAGACTTGCAAAGGAGGCCTTTTAGTGATAGGCACAACACACTTATTTGTTGCTCTGCTCAGTCAACAAAAACCATTACAAACACCAAGATGCACAGTTCTGCTTCCTTTTGTGTTTAGTGCCATCAGCAAAGTCCATCCAGAAAAATTTGATAGCAAAACTCCCAAATACGTCTCTTCTCAGAGGACCTGGGTCAGGAACTCTCTTGTTACCAAGCAGCAATATTGCTGTGACTGCAAGGAAAGAGGTAGGGGAAAAAAGCTCTATGTGCAATCTGCCTGTCTAGTATATGGATTGAGATATGAATTCTAGAAGTCCCATGAGATGCAGATATGGCACACTAGCATGTACTGGCCCCTCTGAGCATTGCTTGTCAGCAGTGATAATAGAGTTAGCTGAATACACTCTGCTGAAGAAATAAACAGCATTTTGTATTCAAGCATCACAGCAGCAAGCAGCCAGTCCCATTAGTGCTGAAGGACAGAATCTAAGGTATAATCTCCAGGAAGGTTGTCTACATAACAGCAGCTAAGTCAGAGGAGCAGAATCTAGTTTACACAACAAAATATCCTTGAACTGCTAAGCTGTGGGCAAAGTCTGCAAATCAAATCTAATTACAAGCATGTCTTGGCTGCATAGAGACAGGAATGCTGCAGTGCAGTAGAGAAGCAAGAGAAGGCAGCCAGGGCACTAGTGAATGATTTACTGTAGTCTGTCTTTTGAAATGCATAGATTACATCAGAGAGAGGGACAGCACCTAGCAGCTTTCTCCCTGATTGGTGCTAAGTCTGAAATATACTTCATTTATGTATTTTTTTTAACACAAAGCTACAGCATACTTTCACAGCTGAGGATGACAGTGACCCTTTGGCTTTACCCATCTTATTCCAGGCTACAAATAGACTCACCTTGCCATTGTGAATGTATTTCATCTTTCCTCCAGCCCAACTGTTTATCCAACTGTGACAACATTTTGGGATAACATTTTCAAATGGCTGAGATCAATTTCACCATGATTTAACTTGGCACAGCCTTTTAAGTGAAAGCATTTGCCCTGATAACGGCACCCATAGGTACAATACTGTATTCCAGGAAATCTGTGTTAAACATTATGAATTCCAAAATAGTTACCTCCTCTGGAATAAAATCATTAAGCTGAATACTCTGACTTAATTAGACTTAAATGTCATCAGTGATTCACTCTGTTTTAATAAACTCGTCTGTTTTCATGTCACTTCTGTAATTTATGCCATAAAAAAAGCCAGTTATGTTGTTCCAATGCCTCAGGAGCACAGCTGGAAACTATCAGAAAATCTTTCGGGTCTACCTTCTCAAAGGTTTCCCACCACTGTAACCGATGCAAACAGCATCCATGCAAGGAAAAGGCATCACAGAGAATTTTGTGCCTGTGTAAGATTTAGAGCAAAAGCAGAAAAAAGGCACATTAGAGGAGGAGGTGTTTTGGGAAATCTGTTATATTATAGAGCTCTGAAAGTGATTAGAGTAAGAAACAGAAGACATAAAGAAATGGGTATTTATGGGAAAACAATTTCAAAATGGTATGTCTCAAAATTTGCCTGGTAGTTCAGTGGGTTCACTGTCTTCCTTAATTCTTTTGGAAAGTAAGTGCCAGAGCAGTGGGCTGAACCCACCAAAGAACAGGTTTTCTTCAATGTACACACTGTATCCACCCTGACCTGTCACCAGGACAATAAAATTGCCTCAGGAAATCTGTGTCATGTATTAAAGAGGTAAGATGCATTCAGTCCCCTGGCAATTTTGAAGTCAGACTGCAACTTACTGATACACTCCGAGTACACTTTTATCTGAGGGGGGCAGGAAAGGAGCTGTGATGAGGAGCTCACCTCTGTGCACTGAATTGAGTAGTGCTTTCAAACCATCCTACAGGGAGTTTAAGTATTCTGCAATGGAACTGTGTCTGGTAATGCCTAACGCACAGCCTCATTTTTATGAGGATAATAAAAAAAAACTGAGTGCAAAAAAGAAAAGTTTCTCTAAAAATAATGCTCTTTTCCAATGGGCAAGAACCTGAGCATCATCCTTTACACACATGAACTACCATAGGTTACCTATGTTTCTTAAGGTTGCTGCACACCACTGTGATGTATCCACAGAGAACAGAGTTTGCTGGACAGGAAGCATGCCCCAGTTCAAAGCAGGGAGTAAACAGGTATGCGAATGAAGAAATCATATATGCTACTCATTTACCAGCTCTCAGAGGAGTCCTAATAGCAGAAGTTGATTACACATGCGGAAGGAAGAAGGTCCTATATCTAATTAAACATGTTGGTGGGTGCAGCACTTCTTCCTGTGCTAGGAGCAAACAGAACAGGCAGTGTGCTGATAAAACTAATTGTAATGCATCTCCTGGCCAGATTAACAGGACTTAACACTCACCCTGGTTGATAGCATTTCTAATCAGACACCGAAAGACACTGCCTGAGATTATCTGTGATTAAAAAATAAAGCCAATTAAATGAGCATACAAATACCCTAGGTATATCTTCTTTGTTTGTTCTTTCTCTACACTGAACAGATGTGTGCATTAGTTAGTGATGACTAGATATTTCTGAAACTGTGTTTGTTTTCCATTTTGTTTGAAGCATCTCCACTGGAACCAGATTTGTTTGTTTACCTGGTGCTTGACAAATAGTCTCTGGCACTCAGTTATCAGGGATTCATGCTTGCATTTCCTATTGGAAACTCAATTCTCCTAATTGGTGCTGTAAGCAGGACAACACAAGAGGTGATTTTGCCTCTAGGCTTTTTTAACTGAGTCTGGTATTGGTCATGTTTTTTTGCACTCTAATAAGACTGGGATCTCTTTCATCATCTCTCCTAAGACTTGGGCTTTCCTTTTCTTTTTTTCCGCCCTCTTTCACATACTCTCACACACAGTCTACATTTAAAGGAATATGTTGATCTTAATGACCTCTTGAAATTTACCCTGGGGCTAATCAGAGGCTTGCTGTGTTTTGCTGGCTATATCTATCATGATACTGGATAATTCACAGCCTGCTTTAAAGGCTTCAAACTAGATGATTTACCCCATATTAATGTGATGCTTTTGCATTTTAATAGGCTTATGTTAATATTTTACAAAATGATAAAGCATACATCTGAACTCTCCAGTGACAGAGAATGATGGCATGAACAACATAATTCCAGTAAAGGGCAGCCAATAACATCAGATTTATGTTTTTTGCTAGAGCATCTGCTGTAAGCTTGGACCAGACCAAACCATTTAGTCGAATTTTACCCCTATTCTGATTGTTCAAATGGCTTTTTCCAACCCATCTCACACTCCATATAAAAGTACTCAGGCATAAGAGAAAAGGTAGGGCATTCTGAGTGTAGAACTAAGCTTCCTGAAACTGCTTTAGCATAGAGGTTTTATATGCCTTTGAGAAAAGACCTTAAAGAGAACAAAAGGGATTTCATCACTGATGCTGGAATTTCAGAAGGTAGTACTCATGAGTGGGGTCGTATTTTTCCAAATGGAAGGGAGGCAGCCTGTCAGTATAGCTTAATGTGTCAGGCATCTGTTGCAAGTTGAAAACCAAAAAGCGCAGGCCAGGGAATGAAAACCCATTCCTTCTCTTCAGCTGCACAGCAACTTTGTATTTCAGCTACTCAAAAGGTCACATTTACACTTTTACTAGCCTCTCAAGGGTGAAAACAAATAGCATTTCTACCTTAAAACCTGCTAGTACTTGATGCTGGTGGGGCTGCACCTCAAGTACTGTGCTCAGTTTTGGGCCCCTCAATACAAGAAAGACACAGAGGCTCTGGAGCCCAGAGAAAGACGGCAAAGCTGTGAGGGATCTGGAGCACAAGTCTTAAGAGGAATGGCTGAAGGAACTGTGATTGTTTACTCCAGAGAAAGAGAGCCTCAGAGGAAACCTCATCACTCGCTACAGCTCCCTGAAAGGAGGCTGTGGTGAGGTGGGTTCAGTTCTCTCAGCTTACAGCAATAAGACAAGAGGGAATGACCTTAAGCTGTTCCCAACCCATCTCAGGGGAGGTTCAGGTTGGATATTAGGAAAAATTTCTTCTTGGAACACTGTCCAGGGAAGTGGTAGAGTCACCATCCCTGGAAGTTTTTGAGAAAAGGGTAGATGTGGCAATGAGAGATGTGGTTTAGTGAACATGGGCGATGGGTTGACAGCCCTGAACCTTCTGGTAGATAGCAAGATGGCAAATGAACTTCAGTTCTGCTAAAAGCAGCGTAACACACAAGGAAGGGAGGGAGGAAGGGGGAAGTTGAACTGCTCACCCAATTGGCAGAGTTCTGAAGAAACTCAGTTAACTCAGACTCAAATTCTGAAAGTGCAGTTTGCTGACAGATTGAATGGAAAATGGTGGCTCTCCATCTGAATACAATGAAAGGCTATTTAAACAAACAAAAAAGACAAAAATTGGAATAGGGAAAGGAATGGACAACAATAAAGAAGCGTCACATAAAACCGCTTGTAACGTGAGTTGCATACTGAAATATTATTTCCCCACACTGATGGGCAAAACAATTGCACTTACTGATTTCAAAAGTAAAATTTTGTTCCCAAAGAAGAAAAACACTTTTATTTTCTTCACTTGATGTTATACTTCGTAGTTCTGACAGAGATAAGAAGGCAGCACTTAACAGGGTAAAATATTTAGAAATGCTACAATCTTGAACGCTCAGGTGCTCACCTAACAAAAAGAAAATTCATGTTTAGCTTGTGTTTTCTGGCTTGTAGCAAAGGTGCAAGCCTGCACTTCACCTGCTCCAACCCAGTTCCTCAAGTGCCAAGTAACATAAACAATCTCTAGCATAACGAACACAGAATGCACCGTGGACCATCTGCTGCTGGTTTCTAAATGGATTGCTAGCAATTATAGAACTCACCTGGGATACAAGAGGTTTTCATTCAATGTTAATTCAGGCAACCATGGTAGCCTCTGGCTTACTGGCTGTTCTGGGGGTAGAGCTGCTCGTCTCCAGAAAGCTGAGTTTGTGTTTGAGAGATTTTAATGGCAGCTAGAATTGTTTGTTAAGACACATCAGTGTTAACAGCAGCAGCAAAGGTATCCACCAGTTCTTCTGGCTACTTCTAAAAATATATTACACCATTACTCTTCACACCACATGCAACTGAACTGCAGAGACTGTGACTACGCTTTAAAAAACAATGACACAAAAAGTGACAAAACATTTAGAAGGATAACAATACCATCTGGAATTGAAATCAGTACTATTAATACATAAACTGGAAGACACATTATAATACACGGCTGGTATTTTAAGCCAGTTCTTCCTATTAGTTATTGCAAGGAGATGTAATACAGCTTATCCTATCCCTGTTGAACTTGGGGTTTTCTGGATCTACTTTGAAACATCTGTTTTAGAGTATATTTGATGTTTCCATGTTATGGGAGTTTCTTACCACTCATCTACCTTGCAGGACCTCCAGAACATTTTTTCCAACATTGTATGACTTAAATGAGATATGATACATAATCAGAATGTATGATGCTGACAGTTTTATTATCTCAACAGTGATGGCTTATTACTACTCTTCACTCAATTTCTTAGCCAAAGCACTCGACTGTCTCATTCAATCATCTATTTAATGGATTTCCTTATTTAACACAATAAAAGACCTATCTTGATTAAATTCTCTCTCTTTAAACAAAGATAAACAATTTTCACAGTAGGTCTTCAACACTCAGCTGAAGTATAACCAAACAGATGTCAAGAAATGGTAAGAAGCATCTTAAGAAGCTACTTAAATTATAAGTGGCTTTGTGTAGTTTTTGCATTTGCATCTCGTCCACTTTGAGTGGCAAGAGTGGAGTCTTGCTCTTGCAGCATGGTTGTGTTGTATCCGTATCTATTTATTTAACAAAGAGAAAATGATAAATTAATTAATCAAAATCTTTTTGAAAGAAAATGACCAAGAAAGGACTATCAGATATTGCAGCTACAGCGCTCCACACAATGAGCAGTTGTTGCTTGGGAACTTTAAGAGTCTTGCTCTTTGCCATTAAACAGCAAAAAGGCTTTCAGCTGTAATAACCTTGAATAGTTGTAATGTTCAGGTGCATACACTCTGCATTACATGGAGGAATTGAAACCATGCCTGGCATCTTTAGGTGCTAATGCTAAGTAAAAAAAAAAAAAAAAAAAAAAAAAAAAAAAAAAAAAAAAAAAAAAATCAATGGTAATGATTTTTAATGCTCTCTGAGTTTCCACTTTATGGCAGGGAATAGTTTCATACTTACAGGACAGCTAATGAAACAGGGCCATAGTTTTAATTAAGTGGTCAAAGGGCTTTTAAAATAGAAACACCAAAAAGTAACTATAGTAATGCATTTAACAAAAACAGCTTGCAGACTCTAAAGAATGGGGCTAAAATGGCTAAGCCAGGACAAAGCAGGTGATAATTATCTTGTTATGTATGTCAACATCACATTAGGACTTAGAAGAAATCTTTCTGCAGCTTTATCCCAGTTTTTCTCTACCTATTCACCCTGGACTGAGAGAATAAATAATTCTTTTTCTTTCTGAAGCAGCCTCTCACATACTTGAAGACTTAATTCAATTCTCTTCATCTTTGTCTTCAGCCAATTCATTTCTATGCTTAGATCTCCTCTCTCCAGCACTGCCTCTGTTAAGCAGTCAGTACAATAAAATCAGTCACCTTCTTCATACTTTCAATGCTGTCAGCAAATGGCAAAACCATAGGTAACTTGAGAAAAAGTATCTTTCTGCTATTTCCCAAACTGAACCACTTAGAACCCATGTGCTAAGGAACAAGAGTATTAAGCCAGGCAATGTCAGTGGAGGAATGATGTTAGAGGGAAGATGTGAAATAAGCTTAACAAGATAAAACAAGGCTGAACAGGGTTAATAAGAGTTGCTCCTAAGGGACTGTGAGTAATTTTATAAAGGACATTGCTGGCTGCATGTCTACTGGACAAGATAATGCAGTGAAAGACAGCTACGGAAAGCAAATTATCAGAAAGTTGAGAGTTGTTTGAGAAAACAAACCTTCTCTGCAGTTAAAAAACAGTGCACCAGTCTGCTTTCAAATAGGCAATCAGTGCATTTGGGTTTGTTGATGGCAGGGAGATAAATAGATAGCCAAGTTCAGCTTAGCAAAAGTGACTGTGAAGTGATTAATACTTAAAACACTTGAGGCAGAATAACTAGGAGTGCAAGATGCAATTAAGAAAGGAAAGAATATCAATAGTAATGGTATCCGCACCTGGTGAGAAAGAACATGTTGTTGACGTGGTGCATTTGCTACAGATGGTAACCAAAGTGGGTTATGTGAGAGAGACCATCAAAATATAGAATTTCTAAGACTCTTCTGAAGATCTGATATTTAAAGATGCATTCAAGTCAGACATACAACACTATAAGTCAACTGAAGGATGTGGGAGATGAAATTTCATATCTTAATCAAAATACATTAATAATAGAAATGGGAATTCACTGGTTATTTAAACAGAATGTCATAACTCTACTATAATGGCTTATTTTAGAACTATTGAGGTAGTTCTCCTGTCTAAAAATGAATTTGCAGTAAACTTCTCTTGTACTGTGCTTCACAATTTAAACAGATTTTTATTTAAGTAAATAAATTGAAATAATGAGCACAACTAACGAGGAACTTAAATTTTCTGGGAAATGATATCTTGTGCTGCATAGAAAATAAGCCAAACACATGGAAGCAATTTATGTGTAACATTAATCAGTGCATCCAATGTATATGTATCACTACTAAATAACATTTGGGTTTCAATACTCACCATCTTTCAATGATTCCACTTCAGTTTTGCACACCCTGCAGCAAAAAAATACACATTTAATAGATGGCCCAGTAAGTAAACCAATCCAATAGCAAAGAAAGCATAAAAGCCTGTTCAGATGTTCACACTAGATGAAAAAGCCTGCCATTTTTTTTTTTGGCACTACTAAGGTATTTAACAACCTCAATGAATCAGTAGCCACTGTTTTCACTTTTAAGGTCACTGATGTTCAGTGAGGCCTTCAAACAACAAACTGAGCTAAATAATGGCACATACAAAGCAGTCATCTTCAGCAGTGCTTCCACTACTTTCTCAGTCAGCTCCACTGTATATTCTAGACAGAAATCCTGAAGCACACATCATTGCAGTCCAAGCCTCCTGTTTCATTTTCCAAATAACATTTAGACTTAGGTGTGAAAGAATAGGATATTGTGGAAATTAGCATCACTGGAAAGCACTCAGAAAGAGAGGAATGGAACAATCATTTTAAGGTATCCAGTTATGTTTTACGTGATGAGCTAAATCATTAGCACCCTCTCAGAACATCCAGTTGAAACTGGAAATCCACATCTCAGAAAGGCAGCATTTTTGTTGAGATTTCCAAATGAATATTAAATTGCCTCATCAGAAGAAATGTCCTTTCAAAAAAAAAAAAAAAAAAAAAGCCAGAAGAATATTCTCCTGCCCAAACTAACAGCAACAACTTCTAAGCAACCACCTGTTTTTAAGAACTACCTTTACTATCAAAACCTCAGCAAATTAAGTTCATTTCTCTCTTACCACAGTTTCCTCATCGAAACCACACTCAGCTGAGCTGTGAGGACAGCATTAATCACAGCTGCTGTAATGAATACCTACCCGGTACCTTTTGATCCATGTGCTAAAAATGTACAGCTATGTCCTAAAATACACACAGGCAAATTAATTCTTGCTTCCTACAGAACATGATCCTGTGCTAGGAACAGCTGTGAAGCTGAACACCACAGGCTCTTCATGGAGAATCCTGCACCTTAAGGAATTCAGCAGAAATTGTGTCTCTGCTGCTGAGCTCTGCTAGAAATACATTTTGAGTTATTAACAACAATGTAAGGATCTATGGTCAAGGAGTTTTTAAACAAGTGTGTCTAAATTAGCTCAAAAATGAGATTCATTTACTTAAAAACCTGTGGAGTCCCACAAAAATACATAAAGAAGTATTGTGTCTCCACAAATATGATCTCCCATGTGCAAGGTTCATAGAAGAAGAGGATAAGAACAAGATTGTATGGGGAAAAGAAATGAAAATTAACATTAGTGTGGGGCACAGAGTCATTCTCTGTCTCATATTTGCTGGATTTCTGACATATGTTTTGGTTCTTCAGGACCACTTCTCTTAGGAAAATGGCAAGAATGCTGAAAGTTGGGTGTAACACAGGAAAATTCTCAGTAAATCAAAACAACACCATTCAGTTAGATTCCTTTTGCAACTCAGAATGAAATAAGTTACACTGCAGCTAAACTAAGCAAAGATATTAGTGTAAGGAAATGAAATTGCAGTTGATTTTTTGTCTTCAAGAGCTGCTAAACTGAGTGACTGGAGACAGAAAAAGTAATCTCAGATAGGTATACAAACTGAGAGAAGAATTTCTTGGTAGTAGCTCTGCTGAAAAGGGCTTACAAGTTCTGGTGGATGAATAATTTAACATAAGCCAACAGTGTGTGCTTGCAGCCAATGGTATCCTGAGTTCCATCAGAAGAGGGGTGGCCAGGAGGGAGAGGGAGGGGATTGTTCCCCTCTATTCTGCCCTCATGAGTACCCATCTGGTGTACTACATTCAAGTCTGGGGTCCCCAATATAGGAAAGATGTGGAACTGTTGGAATGGGTACAGAGGTGGGCCATGAAGATGATCAGAGGGCTGGAGCAGGTCTCCTATGAAGACAGGCTGAAGGAACTGGGTTTGTTTGATCTGGAGAAGAGAAGGCTGTGGGAAGACCTCCTTGTGGCCTTCCAATATGTAAAGGGAGTTTATAAACATGAATGAAATGAGTAGACAGTGATACAACAAGGGGTAATGGTTTTAAACTAAAGAAAGGGAGATTTAGATTGGATGTCAAGGGGAAATTTTTTACTGAGAGAGTGGTGAGGTGCTGGAACATGTTGCCCAGAGAGGCTGTGGATGCTCCATTGCTGGAGATGTTCATGGACTTTTTGCATGGGGCCCTGGGCAATATGATCTAGTACTTGATCTAGTGGCTGATAACCTTGCCAGTGGCATGGGACATGGAAATTGATGATCCTTGAGGACCCTTACAACCCAAGCCATTCTATGATTCTATGATTCTATGATTCTATGATTCTATGATTCTATGATTCTATGATTCTGTGATCAAGGTAAAGGCAGTCAAACAGTGAGTGAGTGACAATAATTTCTGTTTTCTTCAATATGGGAGTTTAAATTGATGACTTTCTGGGCTGAAGATGAAAAGATTACAGAGAATGCAGATAATCCTTCCCACAGAGGCTTGGAGTTCACACTCCAATATTTGAAATAGCAATTTTAATTCTCATAGTAGCTCTTGGGAACTATCTGACCAAAGGTAAATAGCTAGTTTGCCTCTTAATGAGCATCTGAATACCAATTTACACTAAACCTAGATTTGTGTAGAAGGGATGCTGCTGAAAGTACATATGCTATTTTCCACACGTAGAAGATTAAAATATGTTTTACTGAATGGGAGGAAACAAAAAATTTTCTCTAAATTTGTTAAATAAATTCATGATAATCAGGTATGTTTTCTAATCGATTTTTTTGCATAGTCAATTCAGCTTTTATACTCAGGTACCCACCCCAACATGTAAATAGATACTATGTTCCTAAAACATAAATGATCATTTTCATTTTGCAAGTATGAAAATGTATTTTACAAAGCTTTTAGGCTTATTTTATATAAGAATAACTTCCATACATGAATGCAATCTACTTTATTACTGCTGTAAACTAGTATGAACATCTTAAAAATATTTTGTCCTCACCTCTTCAAAATCATGTCTTAATACATTCAGTATTGGATTTTGACCTCTATTCAGTCTTGGTAAATGAATTAAAACATTCTTAATCTACCACCACTGGTAGCAATGAAACATGAACCGGATGGCAAACTAGTAAAACATTACTTATCAAAGGACACAGAAATACACCTTAATTTCACTAAATCACTGCTAGTTACAGCATGATATAGTTGTGTGGCTTCCTCTGCTAGTGAAATACAACATTGAGGTCTTGACAAATAAGATCATTTATCCAACAATCATACATGGTGAGAGAGGAAATGATTTATTTTTCTCCCTTTCCTCGTAGAAATATAGATGCTCCCACTGACACCATCCAGGTGGCACATGTTGAATACTAGTAGTCTCTACTAATTTCACCTGGATAGCAGTGGCCTCAAGAACTAGAAGGATCATAAAGCCGCTGTTATGTGAATATTATAGCATCAGATTTTAAAGTGGCACTTAAAACTCCTTTGTATTAGATAGTGAAAGTACAGTGAAGGTTTCAGCCTCTAGTTATATGAAACCAGAAGGGCTTTCCACCAAGCAACATTCATAGCAGAATTGTCACTCACTTCAGCAAGGTGAAAGTGAGCGAGAATGTAGTGTTATAAGAAATCTGTACTTACAGCCAAAACCACTGAAATTACATTCCTGATGCCTTGGAAGTAGGAATCACATAGGCAAAAAGGTAGAAACTGTGTGGATAAAAGCATGAACTTGAATGTTGGTGACCACAGTGGTTCATAACTACTAATTACTTTTTTAGCATACATCTTTATTTCTCTTAAGGACTAAGGTTAACAACAATTCTAATGTTTCTTGCCTTCTCCTCTTTTGCCACATAAACAACTGCAAGACTCTTTCATTTCAACTGGCCAAAAAGGAGACAGTGCAGACTTTTCCCAGCCTTTAAGATAAGCGGGGTTAAGAAATAGAAGGAAAATTAAAGAAGAGGAAGGGGAGTATGAAGCGATGTTTAATGCCTGTGGCATTATTTCTTTTAGCAATGAATGCTAAACAATTTTCAAACTAAGATCACAGTTGAACAGACAGAAAATGAAAATGTCATTTTGTCTGTGAAGTTCTCAGAAAAACGAACCTGTCAGGAGGTAGAGAAATAGGTCACATGCAAGTTAATGGAAAGTAATAAATGGAATACGTGGTGCCGCAATGCTTCTCAATTAAAAGTTCACATGCTGAATGCCATTTAAACTGACAGATACTCAGCTCTTATCAGCCTTCGTATTTAGATTCTTTGCATCTATAAAGGCTGCTGTTTATTCCACTGGGTAGCCTATGAAATCCTCCTGTTGCATTTGTTGTCAATAATAATTGAAGTATAAAGTAGTGAAATGCCAGGATTCATAGGAAAATGTTTCATGGGAGGATGTCTTTCCATTACAGATGTTCAGGTGCTTCAGAAGAAACTGATGTTAGAGAAACATGTCACTAGACTGACATGAACTAACCACCACTCTTTGACCAGAGTGATGTTACCATCTCAAGAGGCAGCCCCAACGTATCTTTTTAGCAGGTCAAGACAAAAAGGAGAGGATTGGAAGGTGATATAGAGCATCATATTTGCATGATGTGTGGCAGTGCTGCAATCCACATTCTGCTATAGAGATAGGATGGTAATAATGAACTGCCTGAAAGGGCTGTACATACTAACTGCTGAGTTATAGCTTCATCCTTGTTTTATTCTGTTGCATGAGGTGGATTACTGTTCATAGAGATTACTTGAGCCACTTGCAGATGAGACTAAACAGTGTAGCTTTTATCTGGGAGAGATGACTTAAAGCTGAAGATGAGAAACAGAAAGATACCACAGGTAATACAGTATAGTACAGTACCTAAAATTAGGAAAGTGGCTGCAGCATCCTGAGGAGAAAAAAGTTAGGCATCAGAAGGGTGCACTTTTGGTATATATATATGTGTGTATATCTGATCTCTCATTCTACCCAGCTTCATTGCTTGACTTGGAGCTCACATTTAGTAAG